GTTTAGATTCAAGTTTTGCTTTAGAAATGTTCTAGAAATGGCAAAAAAAAGCTCAGGTTTTGAGAAATCTCAAAGATAAGTCTGGAGTTACTTTATAATTATCTTATTGCCCACAAATCCCATTATAGACAACAGCCACCAGTCCAAGGCCTTGTAATTACGTCCTGACCAGTCAGAGCCACTTGGTTTCTGATGAAGAAGTAACCATTTCAAACAGGTCCCCTGACACATTACACAGTGCAACAGTGATCTGTCTTTTAGACTGCAAACAGATACAATAACTCGAGTAGGAGGAATGAGCAATTCATATTGATGAACACACAGACTATACTTGATTCCATAATGTTGCTAACACTGTGCTTCTTCAGGACATGTATTAATCACAGGAGCACCAGCATGTATACACCATATTGATTAAACAGAGATATGAACCCTGTTAATGCTCAGCTCCTCATAAGGAAGTTTAAATGAACGTGTCAGTCATGTCCTTTACTAAGGAAAATGACCCGTGAACGTTACCAATAATGATTGAAATCGTTTTGGATCATATTTATTGTTTGTATTTTTTTTTCAACACACACATTTCTCTATATGAATACATATGTTTGCTTCAGAAGTGGTACAGTAAAATAGAGGTCATGATGCTTGTAGGACAGCTGACGGAATAATATCTAGACTGTATAAACCCTCCAGTGATCCTTCCTCCTTTGCAAGTAAGCTTAGATGCTGTCAAATGTAAAAAAAGAATACATATAAATCCTCCAACTGACCACCTTTTCATACATAAGGATGAAGATAATTCGTTTTAACTTCCTATAACAAGGTCGGGGTTACAGTTCCTGGACCTTTGTCAAGGTAGTTTCCCTACTCTTCCACTGGGGTTTTGGAATATCCATTCAATATAACAAGTAGACTTTATGGCAGAGGGAGGGAACACCAGGAGAGCAGTGTGATGATGACATCGCTCTACCTGCTCAGGGGCTCAGTGTTATTGTTGGAGTGAGGTGCTGGTACCAGTCCGTGCCGGGGGCCAACCCTGTCGGGCCATAACAATGATCTATGAAGTGCATGGTAATGGGGGAGGGGCTATAGGAGCTGTTATCAGCCCCATGGAATGTGTGAAGGGTTGATTGGGATTAGATGGAGAGGTGAAGAGAGAGCAGACCCTCACTGTCTCTGTTTTACAGAGACCTTCCTTCATGAGATCACAGGTAGCGCAGGCTAACGTTTATAATTCTGCTTCTCATGTCGGTCCACAGAAACATCTTGGCTCTCTTTGAAAAGGGAGGCCAAGAGAGCCACACTGAGAGAAAGACAAGATGATCTCAGTGCATGGAGAGCCAGCAGAGGGAGGAGAGGGGGGGGGGCAGGCAGAGGAGATGCAGCTAAGGTTGAGATAAGGAGGAAGAAAGATGCATACTACTTTCTGTTAATGTATTATAATGTCAAACTACAGAACAATGTGACCTTTGAAGAAACCAAGATATTTAGGGTAACAAATGTCCTAAAGAATATAGTTAACAAATGCTGATTTAGTTTATTGCATTAATTAAACACAGTGTATGACACAGTAAGGCAAGTCACCTTTTGTAGCACCTTTAAACACAAGGCCATTTTAAATGCTTTACAAAAATGAAAGACATTTAGAGCATTTAAATAACAGTAACAGTAATCTGATTACATCTTGTTTTAATGTAAGCATAAGGGAATACAGTTAAAGTATTTTTGTATCCTGATTAGGTAATCCCGTTGCACGTAACCCTTACTCCCTAAATCTGGTTTTGGCTCACCTTGTGAAATATTGCAGATTGAGTCATTTACAGCATGAGCATCCTTTCAAGACAAAAAGTATTTCTATTGATGTGTAATGGAATTGTATACACATTATGCGATGTCATTCTTAAATGCAATTGAATACATTGATGTTACATTTTCATAACTTAGTGCTTTAGTTGCATTGATAAATCAGCCGTCTATCCAACAAGCAGTACTGATGTTCCGTCTCCCCAGGACCGGTCCTCCCCGGGACCTGTCCTCCCCGGGACCAGTCCTCCCCGGGACCTGTCCTCCCCAGGACCTGTCCTCCCAGGACCAGTCCTCCCCATGACCAGTCCTCCCCAGGACTAGTCCTCCCCAGGACAGTCCTCCCAAGGACCTGTCCTCACCAGGACCAGTCCTCCCCAGGACCAGTCCTCCCCAGGACCAGTCCTCCCCAGGATCTGTCCTCCCCAGGACCAGTCCTCCCCATGACCAGTCCTCCCCTGGACCTGTCCTCCCCAGGACCGGTCCTCCCCATGACCGGTCCTCCCCTGGACCGGTCCTCCCCAGGACCTGTCCTCCCCAGGACCGGTCCTCCCCAGGACCGGTCCTCCCCTGGACCGGTCCTCCCCAGGACCGGTCCTCCCCTGTTCCCCTGACATGTAGCCAAAAAGCATGCAGAGACTTTTCCAGTTCCAAATAAAGAGGATGAATAAACAACACAGCACTTCTCTGGATTTCTCAGGTGTGGAAGCATCACGACGATGAGAGGAGAAGTGAGAGACTGACGTGAGGAGGGAGACTTGGTGTTAACAGAAGGAGGAAGTGATAGCAGATGCATGTGAGAGGAAATGGGGATGTGAGAGTGGATCAAGTGGGAAATGAGAACTGTAGGTGATGCAGGGAAGATATGAAACATGGTTGCCTGTTTGTGTTGATAGCTTGCTAAGAGAGGAACACGATGTTTCTGGAGGCTTTGATCCAAAGCACCTGACAGAATCATGATTCCATACATGAAGGCTGGTTTTGGTGCATGGCGATGTAGATTATAGGAGACACAAAGGAAAACGGTATCAGAAATTGCCTATAGTCAACGTACTTAGGGTTATTAGAGAATCATTTTTAAGCTGAACTAAGACAAATTTGAAATAAAAACAATAAAACGTATCACTTACAACTGTAAACTGAATTCATTAGCTCTAACGTGCATCCTCACCACATTACTCTCACAGTTTCAATCTGAACTGACATCCTGTCAAAATGATTTCCCTTACCTTGCCCGGTATGAGCATTTGCTAACAGGGCTAACGGAGTAACTTGTACTCCTGCAGTAAGCATATTTGCTGCTCCAAATGAAAGAGGTTAAAGAAGTGAAATCAGACGATTAGAGAATGGGGAAGTTCATAGAAGTTTGTTATGATTCATTCTCTATGTACCATGAATAGCCACAACACATTTGATAGAAATTCAGCCATCAAACACATGGAAAGTGAACTTTCTGGAAAGGGGGCAGGGCAAGAACTGAGTTCACTGTTTTCAGGAGGGTCCATCCTCAGGAGACCATGAATGTGTCCAGTATGTTATATAAGACCCCTTCAGTGTTCCAAGACCCCCCCTCTTTGCTTCAGGATTCTGCTCACCCTTTCCTTTCGCAAACATGACGCTGCCTATTTGCCGGCTTATTACACGGCTACTCAGTAATAAAAGGTCTCATTAACATTAATGAGATTACTGAGCTATTCATCTAACTATGATTTTATTGATTTAAAAAAGATTGTATTGCTTCCACTATGAAATAATAGTCTGTTCTAGTAACTCTTGAAACTGTGGTGACAGTTAAAATATTAAAGTGTTACATTATTTTGTTAGTGGTGGTCGGGGTCGAAACAAAAAGCACATTTGCAGGTTATCTCTTGAATGAGGATGATTCTAAGATTCAGATAGTAATATCACTGTTGGTGTACACATCTGAGGACAAACAGTAATGAGTAAAGGTTCACCTGCTCTCCAACACTGACAGCTGCTAGCTTGTTCATGTAATAAGTTTACTTTTAACACCATGTGCTCTGAACTTAATTCCAGAGAAAAGAGGGGCTTTTCACCTTGAGCACCATGCACTTAAGGTTAGAGTTATGGAGAGACCACCATATAAGCCATAGGGTAGGCATCTGAAGCTTAGGATGGAAAGCCAACAGGTGTTTAGTTTACTTTCAGTTTATTAAAGTACTCATTCACAGTTACGCAGCCTTTTTAAATATAACTTATTCCCTATATTCATGGGTACATATTGGACCAACATAATTAAAATGGTAAAGTTTATCTGTATATATCATTTTATCTCATCATCAAGACCTTTCTTGGAAACAGATCCCTGCTGCTGCGGTTGATAAGAGTGAAGTTGGGAGATGTAAACGACTGAAAAACACTAAAAAGCTGCAAAGAGTTGAAAGAGATCTGCAGACCTGGAGATATTTAACTGTGGGATCATCAGAAGGACATCCTGTTTCACATTACAATTATAACATTACAGAAATGCATAATAATTAACTGTATACACATGGAATATTTTCAGTTGTTACTTTAAGACACCCCAAATCCAAACTCAGTATCAACAGAATCTGACTTCAAAATGCTGGAGGGAACACGGTGAGCAGAATCAAACCATGGTCATACATTTTGGTCTTGTTTGTGTGGCTTCTGGGAAACAGCCATAAGAGAAATGTCAAATATTTGTGTAATTTCGCCAAACAAGAAGCCACTAACCTTATTACTTTGGCAAGAGAGGGAATACAAACAAATATTCCAACTTATTTCTAGTGATAAGAATAGCAATTATTAGCAAATTACAAGGTTTAAAGATAATAACTTACTATCTCACAATGGAAGGAAATGGAATGGAGAAAATAACCATGAGAATCAGAAGTTCATATCTGTGATGAAAATAAAAACTGGGTAAATTATAGAACATAAGACATTTATAAAGACCAGACAATTAATGTACTTAGTACATTAATATAGTATTAATGATGTATCCATTAATGATGTATCCATTATGTGTAAGTTACACCTTATAAGTTAATTTCATTCATCATCATTTGTCGATTGTTATGTTCATTCATGTATCTATCTGTGTTTAATTGGTTGTGTATGCCTGGTAATGAAATAATTCCTTAAACTGCAAATACAAAAATGTATATATATATAAATATATAAATGTAACTTTCCCTGTACTTCCATTCCAGGCCTGCTGTGCACGGCTGCAGCAGACACGTGTTTGTCCTCGCCCTGCAACAATGGAGCTACATGTGTGGACCACCTGGAGGACTACGTGTGCCTGTGCCCCAAAGGACCAGTGTGGTACACGGGGGCGTACTGTGATGACCTGTATGACCCCTGCAGCCTGGCCCCCTGCACCAACTGCACCAGCCAACCTGGGACCAGCGCGTACACCTGCCACTGCCCCGACGGCCTCACAGGCCTCAACTGCACCGAGGATGTAGACGAATGTCAGAGCAACCCCTGCGAAGGAGCACGCTCCAACTGTGTCAACGGAGAGAACAGCTATTCCTGCCACTGCCCCCTGGGGTCGGGAGGGGAGGACTGCCAGGGTAATGTGACCACTTGTTCAGAGGAAACATGCCAGAATGGAGGCACCTGTATGGACATCCCTGACTTTGGGCACAGGTGCCAGTGTGCGGCTGGGTACCAGGGGATGGACTGTGAGGAGAACGTGGATGAATGCTCGTCTGAGCCCTGTCACAACGGAGCCATCTGTAAAGACGGGGTGGATGCCTACCAGTGTTTCTGTGTGCCGGGATTCCAAGGCTACCACTGTGACCTGGACATCAATGAGTGTGCCTCCCAACCCTGTCGGAACAATGGCACCTGTCTGGACCAGGTGGATCACTACAGGTGTGACTGCGCTCCAGGATTCAAAGGTGAGTCGCTGTTTTCAAAAAGTCAGAGTTATATCTGGCTTGGTTTTTGAAAGGAGAAATGTATTACACTGGATCAGACCTTGGACTCTCTTAGCTTAGAACAAAGGAAGATAAATAAAGTACAAGAACATAAATAAAGTTGCTATTATCAGGGGTCACATACATATAGTGTAGTCTCTTGAAAAGCATACATTTGTTTTTCTTTCTTGCCATTTTACCTTAACCAATGAGTGCCACAAATGGTATTGATGATAACCCTGATATTTAAAACTGTAATATCGATATCATTGTAATTATACAAATATGATCATATTATGTAAATAATCCAAATGTTCCTAAACATTTCCATTCCTTCCATAATCCTACTGTAGGCATACTTTGTTTTCCATAACTAAGATCTTTCTCTGACCCTGACCTACGGAGCGCTGGAGGGTTCATAGAGAGAACAAATTAATAAAACGAGGACACGTTTTATTAATTTGAGCGCACAATATACTTTCTCGTTCGCACAAGATACTTTCTCGTTCGCCAAGTAGGAAGTGGAGCGCAGAGGAGACAACCGTTTCATTGCAAAGAACGCACACTGTTATGTTTATGTGGGGAAATGGCAGTGCATACATTATTTGAGATATATTTCAAACTCGGTGGTGTAGAGCTATTTTTTTATGCACCGGATTCTCAAAATAGGAGAGTCTGTGAACCAATCTGCCTTGATCTATGAATTAATGTCCGTGACTCTCACAGTATCTGCTATCAGCTAGAGAGCTGTGTCTTTTACGCAGCGCCTTCACTGTGTGTATTACCTTCATTAGAACAGCTGAATAGAGATCGAGGCTGCTACGTTTCACACTTCAGGGGACATTACATTGACTGACATGCATTTCCTGGAGACTTATCCTAACCGTAACCATAACCAACACATGCCTAACCCTAACCCTTACCCTTAACCTTACCCTAACCCTAACCCTTACCCTAACCCTAACCCTAAACCTACCCAAGTCTTCACCCTAAAATTAATGATTTCCCTTATGGGGACCTCCAATTTGTCCCCATAAGGGAGGCGAGTCCCCACACGTGACTGTGTAGACAGATTTAGGTCCCCACAAGTATAGTAATGCTAGGCCACACACACACACACACACACACACACACACACACACACACACACACACACACACTCACTCACTCACTCTCGCTCGCTCGCACACACACACACACACACACACACACACACACACACACACACACACACACACACACACACACACACACACACACACACACACACACACACACACACACACACACACACACCTCTATGTATGCAAGAGAAGAATGCCTGTATGTGTGAGAGACAGGCTGAAGTGGAATAGTCCATTTAGCTTAGGAACCTTCCTCACGGAGTGAAATGACCCGGAAGTCCCTCACTGGCAGCCATGATAAGTGCCGTTCCAATTCTCCAAATGAAAGGAAAGGAGGTTTCAAACTTCCTTTATAACCTCCTTTAGCTTAGGAACCACTGGACCTCCTTCACCGAAAGGAGAGGAGAAAATGCTGCCCCACAATGCCTTGCAGCCGCAGCATTTGCCGTCACTCAACAGTCGGCCGTTCACGGAAACAACCGATTATGACGGATAAATGATATCATGAAAGTTACGGTGCTTATTAAGCTTTTTAAAACGTATGTGGTAAGTTGCCAAAGTGCTTTGTTTTGAACGTTCATCAGTATTAAGCATAAAGCAACAGCATCAGAGCACGGTGCAGAGTCTCTAGATGAGTTTACAGTAGTCCCTCGTTCTTATTAAACATCCATGTTGTAGTCCGCTGTATAGAAAACTGTAGTTTCCATGGTTTCCCCACGGCAGCAGACGCACATTCATGACGTCCGCTGGCGCATCATAAACACGTCGGATAGTGAAAGTGCAGTCGATTCTCTAAAGTACCGCAGTCTCTTCTCCTAAGTCCTTTTGAATTCTCCTATCCACTATCCCTTAACCCCGTGACGTTTCACTCAGAGGTCAAGGGTTAGAACTTAGGAGCTGATTTTTAAACTATCCGACCGCAACCAAAGTATAGTGGAAACGGAAGGAGTATGGTTGAAACGGAAGGCAGGTCATTATCGCGCTGTGATTGGCTTAGAAGGTCGAGCGGGGCGGGCTCATGTTCAGAACTTCGGATTCAAATCAACATGATGGAGGGAGATGAATCCGTGTATCTACGGACCATTTGTTTTTCTTTATTAATAAAGTAAACGGAAGAGCGTCTGAGAGGCGTTTTTGCCCTTTTGCTTTTTACCTTACTAAATGGTCTAATGGTCATTGGAGCGGGGGGGGGGTCAAACTAGTACCGAGTCCAACAGTGTCACTTTTATTAAGAACTTGTGGTAACAAATATTTGTATCGATCATCAAATATAGCAGGGGAAAAAAGAGCTGCTGATTTGAAAAATAAACTTGAGACGGCTGAGGTGACCGCTTCTGTCACTGTCCTTTCTTCTTAGAGGAAGTACAGAAACACGTAACTCTGGATCTGTTTTAATGTTTGAGGTGCAATAAACGACACAGCAGCTTTTTGTCATGTTAAAACTATTATTTTCTGCCTCGCTCATGAGAGTAACAGCTGGCGAAATTACAGCCTTGCCTACTGATTTCAAATGTGTGCTCTAAAATGATATTTATAAATGACTATTATCATTATTATAAGCAAGACAATAAATGGCAAAGATATGTAGAAAATAAACGTATTTAAGAAACGTAACGTGGGAGAAAATATGCTTCTAGAAGATATGTAGAAAATAAACGTATTTGAGATACGTTCATAACGAACGTAACGTGGGAGAAAATACGTTTCTAGCTAAACGTAATTGAGAATGCAGTTTAGTTCTGTGGGAACGTAATTTTTAGGAGACAGGGTTGTTTTAAGAGTGCGCTTAAGACCTTCCTTTTTGATAAAGCTTATAGTTAGGGCTGATTAGATTCAGCCCCTAGTTTTGCTGATATAGGCTTAGTTTGTCGGGGGACATCTTACTTCTTCCTTCTCTCTGTCTATACCTGTGTACTCTCATGTTCCGAATAACCCAGCTTCCCCACATTTCTTTTTGGTGTCTATATACGCTGGGATCTGGAGTCATGGATGATCCTGTTGCTGCGGTCCTGTGTCCTGGATCGCGAGCCCTGGATCTTGAGTCGTGGCTGTGGTCCTGGATCATAAGTCCTGGATGGATATCCTCGTGGATTCATCTTCTTATTATACACACATGTATTTCCAAACATTTGGACTACCTATGTTGCAAATGTATTGTCTTTTCAATTTACACACGGCATCTATTGCACGTCTGTCCGTCCTGGGAGAGGGATCCCTCCTCTGTTGCTCTCCCTGAGGTTTATCCCATGTTCCCCTTAAACTGTGGGTTTTCTCCGGAAGTTTTTCCTTGTACGATGTGAGGGTCTAAGGACAGAGGGTCTAAGGACAGAGGGTCTAAGGACAGAGGGTGTCGTATTGTCATACTGATATTCTGTACAAACTGTGAAGTCCACTGAGACAAATGTAACATTTGTGATATTGGGCTATATAAATAAACATTGATTGATTGACTTCCTGTTTTATTTAGATGCTTTTATTTTGAAGGCGAGTTTATGCTGTTGACAGGAAGTTGTTGTTGCTACGGAAACGTGAAATGCTACATGATGTGTGTCTGTTTGTGCTCTGCTCAGCTCTGTGTGTGTGTGTGTTCGGTGTATGTGTGTGTCCGACACCGGCATTTGTTTTCAAATGACCATGAACAGTAATTTACACACATCTGGCTAACTCTAATGTGTATTCCCAAGTGAAAGAAGTTTGTTTAATCTTAATCTCGATGTAGGCTAGTGCTAAGTGCTGTCGGAGTGCACCGGAACGAACACCACTATCATAATATCTTCTGAAAACAAATTCCCCCACACACGTCACACACACACACACACACACACACACACACACACACACACACACACACACACACACACACACACACACACACACACACACACACACACACACACACACACACACACACACACACTCCCTGGCGACCGGACATCCTCTTCATGAAACTAATAATATGGCGTAATAATCGGGAAGTTCGATGTGTCTAACCATAAGAAAGTATCTTGTGCGAACGAGAAAGTATATCTCAATTTACTTTCTCAATTTAAATAAAACGTGGCCTCGTTTTATTTTTTTCTCTCTCTATGAACCCTCCAGGGCTCCATACTGACCACACTGAAGTCATGTATTAACCTTTTTGACTTGCAGACCAAGAAAATAAATGTGAGGGGGCAGGTGTTTCAATTCCTAGTAGAGGGTACAACATGTATGTGTTACTTTTAGTTAAAGGAGATTTGATTATTGGCAAAAAAAATGTTGACAGCATTCAGTGAAGTAAAAAAAAATCACAAGATATTTCAATGATAATCATAATAAATGTTTTGTTTACATTTCATATGCAGAGTATGATGGGTTGAGCCATTAACTTGAACAAGAGTTTCATGGCTGTGTATGGGGACATTAGTGTGTGTTTCTGAAGTCTGCGGCTCAGTTTTTGGCAGCTCCCCTGTTATAGTGTTGTCCTGAGGTAATGAGTTGTGTTGCTGAGCTCACTCCTTGGCCCGCTGCCATCCCTCTGTCCCCTGCAGGGGTTAATTGTGAGGTGGACATCGATGAGTGCGAGGTGCATCCCTGCCAGAACGGAGCCACCTGCCGCGATCACATCGCCTTGTACACGTGTGAGTGCTTGGCCGGCTTCCAGGGTCAAGACTGCGAGGTCAACATTGATGAGTGTGCCAGTTCCCCCTGTCTGAATGAGGGCCGGTGCCTGGATGGGGTCAACAGGTAGGATTACACCACAGTCTTTGGATTACACCCAAACTGAAGTGAGCTGAGAGAGCTGACACAGCAGGCTGATGCTGAACTCATAGGCACTTTGGATGGTTTCATTTCCACATTTGTAATGTGGAAAAAAACATGGATGCATTTGAGTGTATTTAGAACACAACTATATTGTGTGGTTGTGTTTTTTACCAAAAAAACGTTTAAACAACGCAATTTAAATGTCCACAATTTGCATGATAACAAAGGTAATGGGTTAGGTGAACCATGTTATATCAATATCAAGAACTAGGGATTGTTCAGGGATGTTGCTGTCACATCATATTGAGCTTGTGATGTGACAGCAAGCCTTTTTTTAATATTCTACCTATGTACAATAATAATAAATTAAGTTCACTTGAGGAAATAAAGCTGTACAAGTAGGATGCTGAATCACTGTATTCAAATAAATATTCTTCTTTATTAATGCCAACCCCAACATTTTCACAATTGAAAGCTTTCCCAGTACAAATCTCAACCCCCCCAAAGTGCTGAGAATACCTGATCTGACAAACTATATTCCATGACCTGGTGATAAAGCAGAACGTATTGAATTGTTGTATTTTGTATAAAAACACTAAAAGGTTCCAACATGAATCGCCTGGAAAGAACCTGTGTTGTGAATAGTGTCATACCACTAAAATGTTTGTGTCTAAATATTCTATCATCTCTGAATATTCTAAGGGAAATGATGTACATTCTGAAAGAAATTACATTTGAGAAATAACATACTCTTGCCCTTTTCACTACACTCTGGGGTTTGTTATCATCAGTAGCTCATGGTTGCTAACGATAATCTTCTTTTCTTGATCATAGTATGTTGTATCATGTCACAGACAATCAGATTATAAAATCTGTTTCTATTCTCTGTTCCAGCTATGAGTGTGACTGTGAGGGGACCGGCTTTGCAGGCCTCCACTGTGAGGAGGATATTCCAGAATGTGCTTCAGACCCCTGCCAGCATGGAGCCACCTGTGTGGAGGGGGTCAACCAGTACATGTGCCAATGCTGGCCAGGTACATCCCATCACTCTGGGCACCAACATACTCTCCTACACATAAACAGATTGGAGGGCAGGAGGGGGCTAAAGAGCAAGGCTGTGCTTTGCAAGTCGTAAAATGCAGAGTAAAACAAAAATAAAAGATTTACATCCTCCAGGGTTGTGTTGAATTATGAAAAGTGATATATGAGCACCAGTGTTGGGGAAGTTACTTTTAAAAAGTAGTGTTTGCTCGTTACTCGTTACTTCTTTAAAAAAGTAATCCCTTACTTTACTTAGTTACCCTCCAAGGAAAGTAACTTTTTACGTTACTCGTTACTTTTACGTTACTTTATGTTGCTCGACTTTGGGCAGAACCCCATCTCTGTTCCTAAATGTGTAGGCTTACATAAAGTTCTACTATGGAGGACATTACAGATATTTCTTTTGTGCTCTTTATTATAAAAAAAATGCCACAGAGCACTTAACAAAACATTGGGCTATAGGCGTCAACACCACCACTAAACAATAATATCAAACAATATCAATATAAAATCATAATCATTAAACAGGCTAGCCCCAAAATAGGTGCAAAGCTAGTGCAAATCATATCAATAGGCTACTAAATAGAATTGGACTCGAAATATCATCATTTCCCCGGGGATCTTGAGCTACTAGCTTCATGCTAGCATGTTTTCCTTTCAAATGCTTGGTGAGGTTGGCAGTGGAGTTAACGGCAGTGGACACAAGTTTCTGGCCAGGGCACAACGTACACCTTACACTCACATTTTTCCCCTTAGTTTCAACAAGTTCGAAGTAATGGGAATACCTCCATCCCTCGAATGTTAGCGTTGGCTGCGCCTGCTTCTCGCTTGCCATCACTGCTCTTCAGTCTTCATGCCACCACCAGCGGCCAGCCTCTATCACGTACAGTGTGGAATGAGAGCTCGTGCCTAATGCGTAAGCACGCAGCTGAGTAGGCAGTGTCACTGTCACTCGTCCCTGGGAAAAGTAACGTTGCGGCGAATTGAAGAAGAAACTACGTTACGTTACTACATTTTCCGTAGAAGCGCGTTACACTACTTTTTACCCGGCAAAAGTAGTTACGTTACTGTAACGCGTTACACCCAACACTGATGAGCACATAGCGAGAGGGAGAGTTGACGATGTCAGCAGTCCTCGTCTGATTGCCGCTGTCACAAATGTGCTTATTAGGATGTGTGTGTGTGTGTGTGTGTGTGTGTGTGTGTGTGTGTGTGTGTGTGTGTGTGTGTGTGTGTGTGTGTGTGTGTGTGTGTGTGGGTGTGTGTGTGTGTACACTTTGCTGTGTGCATATCCTATAAGTACCTTGATAGATATCACAGGTGGATATAAAAAACAAAATTAAATCTTCAGGTTTTTATCCTTATGTATTGTGTGCTTGAAGTCATCGTAACAAGTAATCATAATAATAATAATAAATACATTACATTTTTAAAGCGCTTTTCCTGGTGCTCAAAGCGCTTACAAGCAAGTAAAACAAAAATAACAACAAAAGTAGAAAGTGCTAAGCTAGGAGGAAGGGCGAGGGGTTAGTTGATTAGGAGTTGAAGGCAAGAGTGAAAAGGTGAGTTTTAAGGGGTTGTTTGAATGATGTGAGAGTGTTGGCGGGTCTGACGTGGCTGGGGAGGGAGTTCCAGAGTGTGGGGGAGGCTGCTGCGAAGGCCCTGTCACCCCAGGTAAAGTAATTTAATGGATGTAGGCGTCACCTAAATGAAATATGATGAAAAAGTGTATACTGGCTATAAGCACAACATCCATTATCCATTTCCATTGAACAATGCAGGCTCAAAAAGTACCTAGCGAACTTCACATGCTACATAGCACTTCACATCAAATGCTTAGCCAGCTTTCTCATGAGCTATTACTGAATTTCTCTTGCTTTTATTATTTCATTTGTTATGTGGCAAAGACAAAAAAAAAAACGTGGGCTTGTGTGTATGTGTGCATTTGTGTCCAGGTTACCAGGGGGAGAACTGCCAGGTGGATACAGATGAGTGTGAGCATCTTCCCTGTGAGAATGGTGGCAAGTGTTTCCAGCGCTCAGATATCCTGAACTATGGCTCCCTGCCTGAATTCAGCAAAGCCAATTTCAGCTATGAAGAGGCCGCCGGTTTCATCTGCCGCTGTCTGCCGGGCTTCACTGGTAAGACAGTTCCCAACATGAACTCTTCACTGTCTTGCAATATTATTTCATGACTGAGTGACAAGGAAATATGAATCCCATGAATGCGTTCTGTTGGCAGGAGACAACTGCTCAGTCGATGTGGACGAGTGTGAGTCTGCTCCATGTCTCAATGAAGGAACCTGTCAGGATCTGGTCAACTCTTATCAGTGTGTGTGTCCAGACGGCTTCACAGGTAAGAATACACTCTTATCTGCTGCTTCTCCTATCTCCTAATAAACAAACTGCTCTTCCTCCTGAGCCCCCCGCAGAGGTGTGTCCTGTCGCTGGTACTACTTATCCTCACTGACTGCAGTACAGGACAGGTACTCCCTGATATCAGTTGCTGCATGTGCGTGTGGTAATTGAGCTTGTACAGATGTGATGCTGACTCACAGAGGACGAACATGGCTGTTCAGACCAACACTTTAGTGACAGACTGCTGTTAAAGGAAAACGAGTGTCCCTTGGTATATTGATGAAGCTGAGCTTTGATTTGAATTTTGAATTAATGTTTAAGAAAAGGGAATAAAATGGTTACCGTCTCATCACCCCATACTACGACCTCAGGGTCTAAAATGTGAGGCCAGTGCGGAAGTGCCTTAGACCTTTCTTATGGCCACATGAGGAGAGTCCACTGGAAAAAGAAGTTCAGTGGAAGCTTGTACTAAAGACTTTAAGGTCAAAATCGCATTTTCAAACTGTCTTAAATACAGCATGATGTGCATTTTGTAGACCATGGTCCCAAAGTAAAAGAGACAGTAAAGCATGCTTTAGGGCGGGGCTACCAGCTGTTGTCCAGTCTGGGTGCTCTCTGTGGTTTTGTCTTACCTTTAGTCTTTTAAAGTGTGTTTCAGTTGATGTAAGGTCATTATAGCATTATCTTAACCTCATAATGTCTTGTTGTCCATTTGGTTGTACTTAAGACCCCCCTCTTGTGGGAAATGCTCAACTTAAGGCTTCACAACGGTAGTGCACAAACCAATAAATGATGTCACAGTGACTACATCCACTTATTTTTACTGCTATTCATTCTATGCAGATTTTCGAGTTTGTTCGAAAGACGCTATTAGCATATTAAATCACAGACATCGTATTTTATCTTTTGGGATATTTTTTACAACATCCTTTTTAATGATGTGCTTTCAGACCCAATTCGATTTAATGTCTAATTTCGTAGTTGTTTTCCATGTGACAAGCCAACTGTGTTTAACCTGTTTTTATTGTATTTAAAGTTATTAGGTAATAGCAATTATTGCTTTTGATCTGGTTTGGCTCACCGTTATACGTAATACGTTAATAATAATAATAATAATAATAATAATAATAATAATAATACATGGTAATAGCTCTTTTCCTGCTGCCAAAGACGCTTTACAAGTAAATAAATAAATAAAATAATGAAAAAATAAATACAAAGATTAAGTTCACAATAACTTAACTCTGAAGGAAAGAAAGATCTTTATTCCAGGATGTTCCCATGTAGAAGTCGAATGACCAACAGTTCTCAGAACCTCTAGTTCTGGCCCAACAACCCAATAAAGGGTTAATCTTCCTCTTGCTTGCCATTCCTCGTGGCCAGCCAAGGTATTCATTCCTCATTAAGGGAGATTTGTCACCGGAGGAAATGCACCAATAACTGACCTTAAAACGCACAATCTGGATCTAGAAGTGTGCTATTCAGCTAGCCTTCCATCAACGACATGGGAAGCTAATTTAATTTGCTAATTGTATTATGGCCATGTGATGTGGGGGGTAAGAGGGCATATGGTACGGAGGAGCATAGAAAGCCAATAAAAGGTGCCATATGTCAGGCGTCCTCTTTGGGTATTAAACTGGGGTCTCAGAAATGTTTCAGGGGGAGGGGAGATTACAGCAAAGCTGCTTAGGAGCCTCATTAAAGCCTGATGAAAAAAACAAAACAAAAAACATTGTAAGCAAAACCAGGCTTTTTTTCTAAATGATATGCACTTCATATTTCTGGTATGGCGCACAGTAAACATACAGTATATAGTACTTCTGACAGCAAGTTCAGATCAAAATATGATCCTATTAACTTTGTATGGCACGTGTGCAAGAGGTGAACTTTCCACGTACATGAGGTCACAGTTAAGCCAGGACAGATGGATCCTTCGTGTGCCCTCTTTGTACCTGAGCCATGCTACTACCGATGCTTATAGAGTTAGGATACAGAGTTTGTGAAAGATGATGCAGGACATTTTGTATTATAAATGCCGAGGTTGGGGTAATTACTTTGGGCACATACTCATCACATAGTCAGCAACAGGTGTATGCTTTTAGACCATCTTCACATTTCTAGCTCCTAGATTTTTTTATGCCATCTTATCAACCCAATAATTGCTGATGCATGTGCTGGTTCTCTCAGAATGTAAATGTTGTTTTGAAGACTTTAGTATAAAACTCAAACATTTATATCACCAGATAAGAAATCCAAGATCAATTATGTAAAGAAAGGAGCATTAAAGAAACATGTTAGTTTGAGAAAAGGTAATTCTGAAATGTTTCTTTTTTTCTGAAAAACTGTAAACAACTTAACAATTGAAGGGAACACATAGGATACAATGCAGGGGTGGGAAAGTACTCAGATCTTGTACTTCATTAAAAGTAGAAGTACTCAGAGTGTAGAAATACTCTGTTACAGTAAAAGTCCTGCAATCAAAATGTTACTCAAGTACACAAGTATTCTCATCAACATATAGTGGAAATAGCGACAGTAAAAGTATTCATTGTGCAGATTGGTCCATTCCAGAATAATATATATGATATGTTTTATAATGATTGATCATGAAAGTGTTCTCAAAGCTGGTAAAGGTGCAGCTAGTTTGAAGTACTTTGTATACTGCAGGGTAGCTTGTGGATTTACTCCAGGTGGAACTAAAGTCTGATTCAACACTTGATTATATTTCACATCATTCATCCAGATCTGTAAAGTAACTAAAGGGATTAAATACATGTAGTGGAGGAAAAGTACACCATGTACCTCTGAACTGTAGTGGAGTAGGAGTACAAAGTAGTATGACATGTAAGTAAGTTTAAGTAAAGTACAAGTCTCAAAGTTGTACCTAAGTACAATACTTGAGTAAATGTACTTAGTTACTTCCCACCTCTGGTATAATGTATATTCTGATAAGATTGAAGTATTTCTAAAGGGCATCTTAAGTGACATAATCAAACACAATGTTGCATAAGACTGACTGACTGCTATGCTAACCTTAAAAAAAAGATACATTTGGGTAACATGCATGATGCATCCTGCTCGGGCTGGAACCCTGAGCCGGCAGCGCCCCCTGCAGGTTCGCTGGAGCAGCTCCTGCCTTCGGTGGGCATTCACAGGCCAGCACATGGACGTGGGGGGGATGCAGCACTGCATTCCTCTTGTCAAACACTGACAGGAGCCAGCTTCAGGCTGCAGGCTTACCGCTCTGTCCGGGCTGGGCTGCAGACAGGAGAGGAGCAGGGGGGGTGAGGGAAGGAGTCAGGAAGGGAGAGAGAGAGGAGGGAGGAGGGAGGAAGAGAGGGAGGAGAAGCCAAGATGGGCAGGGCTGCATTTAACTCTCTTCTGCCTGGTACAGAGTGGAGGAGTGAAGGCACTGCTGCTCTGTGGGAGGGAGCAGAGAGGGTGGTGTTTCTCAGTGTGTTGGCTGTTCACTCAGAGGATCATGGGGGGGCACAGGCTGATGCTGCTGTGCTGCTGGTGGCTCTGGTGGCTGACAGGTACAGTAGGGTACACTACATTCATATATTTACATTTAGAAAGTTGCATGCCTTTGTATGGTGGGTAGAGTCCAGGCACATAGGGGACGGCAGCTGTAGGGTTCCTTGGGTGTAGAGTATTTGAAAGGACTTTGTTAATGCAAGTTGACTGCTGCCAGGGCTTATGCTGAATGCGGTAAGGTGACTGAGACTACTGAACCAGGCAGACTGCAATAGTAGTGTGTGTGTGTGTGTGTGTGTGTGTGTGTGTGTGTGTGTGTGTGTGTGTGTGTGTGTGTGTGTGTGTGTGTGTGTGTGTGTGTGTGTGTGTGTGTGTGCGTGCGTGTGTGTGTGTGTGTGTGTGTGTGTGTGTGTGTGTGTCTGGCTAATTCAATCAGTATGATAGACTTGGGATTCAATTGTGTTTCAAAACTGTGCATAAATCAAAACAAATGCTCCTTTAACTGTGCAATGAATGGCTATTTCCTGCACTCATTTCCTCATATGCTAGTGACTGATGGGAAAAGGAATGACTTGCCTCGACCAAGCCTGCCTGTTTATCTATATACGTGCACACTAAGCTCTGTATCACATAAGGTTAACTATGTTTTGACTCGCAGAGCTATTTGTGTATTTCTCTGTAGTGGATAAAACAGGTTTATGTGATTTTAAATTTGATCAAATAATACTTTTCTCACACAGATTTGTTTTTATCCATGTGTGTTTTTGCTTCCAGCAAACATTTGAATCAGTGTTGTTGAAGTTACTAAATGCGCATGTCTTTCTATGTAGGAGTTCACTGTGAGGTGGACATCAACGAGTGTGACAGCAATCCATGCCAGAATGGTGCCACGTGTGAAGACTTTGCCAACTCCTACAGGTGTGTGTGCCCCGTCCCAGAGCCAGGCCATGACCCCTGGGGTGGGAGGGACTGTGACGTCCGTCTGGAGGGCTGCAAACAGCACCAGTGCCAACATAAAGCGGGTTGCATCCCTGTGCTGACTGATGACGAAGAACACAACTACACCTGCCTGTGTCCGCCTGGCTGGACTGGAGAACGCTGCAACACCTCTACCACTTTCTCCTTCAACTCAGAGGGCTACATCCACATGCAGCTGCCTGTTTCCAAAACCAGAACAAAGAGAGAGGCTAAAGACAGAAACCAAGGGCTCCACATGCATGTTCGATTCAGGAGCACTCTGCCCGACATGGTGCTGTACCACCGGGGCTCCACTGAGCGCTTCATTTCTTTGGAGCTTGTTGGAGGCTCCCTTCAGGCCAGGGTGAAGTCAGGGAAGGTACTGCAAGTCATTTACCCCGGCCCAGTCAATGACGGGGAGTGGCACCAGGCCACTGTCACCATGGATGAGAGGCTAGTCATGGTTGTAAAAGGACCCGGCTGTGAGGAAGGGTGCCTGGTAAAAAATGAGGTCTACAACCATCTGATGTTTGTCCAGCCCAGCTCCTTTCCACAGCTGTATGTTGGAGGGGTGCCACAGGAATATTTAGCCTACACGTCCAGTGGAGGGGCGTTCATTGGCTGCATGGAAGACTTTCAAGTTGATCACAAGCTGCTTCTTCCTCAGGATCTCATTAGAGAGGAGAACCAGGGGTTGGAAATAGGATGCAGCAAAAAAGATTGGTGTGAAGATGACCCATGCATGCAGCGAGGGCAGTGTGTGGACATGTGGGTCCGTCCCAGCTGTCAGTGTCATCGCCCCTACTATGGAGGAAGCTGTGACAAAGGTGAGAGTACTAACAGCATACTTTATAGGTTTAAAGGAACACTCTCTACTTGTAGAACAGAAACAGCAGGTAGACTACTGCTGATCAGAGAGGATTTCCAAGACTGTGTGTAGGAGGAACTGTTGGAATGCTTCTTTAGGTGGGAGTCATTCCCTACAGTAAATATTTACCATGGTTTCGTGTACTTTGAGGTCCTGTTTTTTAGTGAAGGCGTGACTAATTAAAAATATATTAATAAAATCTAAAATTCCCTTTTGAGCTTCTCTACCTCTTCCATAGAGTTAACACTTACTGCTGCTTGGTGCTAAAACAATAATAAAAAACGAAATATAAATATGATTTGTTATGTGAGTGCATAACATGCAATTCTTGAATCAGATATACAAAAGATTGCCACTGAAAATCTGCACAATGTGGTAAAATACTACTCCCCAATCAAGTATTGCACTGCCATAGAGGAGGGGCAAAACATATTTGTATGTATTTAGGGCAAAGTAAATGAATGTGGTTTGCATGAGTCATACAAGTCAACGCAGCAAGATATCACAAGATTGATGCCATGCATTATGGGTCAAGCTTCAGAAGCACTGGATCCACCACTTCCCATGATGCAACTCCTAGCGGAATCCACTTATTTAAAATGTTGCCCAGCACAAGGGACATGTGGGGAAAATGCTCCTCCATGGCCTCGCAACAATGTGATACAACAGAGTAGTACCCTGACAAGTAGTTATTTTTATGTTAATATGGATTGCTGGAGTGAACAGATATACAGCATTGCTGATTCAGGTGTAGCATGTGCCAGTGTGTTGGGATAAGATACTGACAACGTTGTGCTTCCCCTCCCATCTCAGAATATCCCTCCTGGACCTTCAGTCATGAGAACACCACCAGCTACGTCAGCTACAACATCTCGGAAACCCATGGAGAAAACTTCACCATCTCCTTTTTGTTGCGCTCGCTCAAACACAATGGTCTGCTCCTGCAGCTTCGTCGAGAAGGAAAGCCCTACCTGACACTTTATCTGAAGGAGGGCACTGTTGCTATTTACAGCCCTCACACCACCCTGCTCTCAGAGGCCAAGCTCGTCACTGACGGCAGCAATTATTTAGTAGCTGTACAAGTACAGTATGGCCATGTGGTCTTCCCCAAAGCAGGGAATCATCGTGCCCTAGGGAACGTGAGTGTAGAGGCAGGGGATGTGGCATATGTGGGGGGGCTCCCTGCAGGCATGAGCATGAATGCCTGGGGTGGAAATATGAAGGGCTGCCTGCAGGACCTCCGGCTGGACCACAAGCATCTGACCACTGAGGGTCTTCCAGAGGGGGTGGAGGTCTACCAGGCCAGCACAATGGAGAACGTGCTGCCAGGATGCCAAAGTGATGACACATGCAAGGTGAAAGATATTTTGTCTCATGTACAGCATAACAGGCAGTTGCACCAACATTCTTATGCTCAGCTCTCCACATCTATATATTAAGAAGCTATACATATGAACAAAGAATTTGAAAATATAAGCTGACATACATTAATAAACAATTCCTGTCTCAGAATAAAAGTGCATGATAAAACTCAAATACATATCATATATAAACCTGAGGGTATTGTATGGTGATTACAAATTGTAAATATGCTTAAGAATAAGAATAGATAGATATAACAGCATGAATATGAATGTAACAGAATGGGCATGGTACAGTGTGTAAAACAATAGAGTGACAGCCAGTGTTAGTGCTGATGGTCATGATTGGGGACTCTCAAGATCACGTGATTATAGAGAGCATTGTGGAGACTTTTACCCTGACAGCTGTGTTGTGACCTTAACCAAGCAGCATTATATCAGTTCAACCTGGATGTCAACAGCCTCCGTTGTAAACTTGCTCAGACGTTCTTTGCAACACCACAAAAAGCTCAGTGTGTTAATATACAAGTATGTTACCATGCTATATTAGCACATTTCCAAAGTGAAGCTCAGGATAATTGGAATTTAATTAGATCATAAGAGTCATTTTAATTAATTATCTGGGATCTGTATCACAGAACAAAGACTATGGAGCACTTAAACAGAGAAATAACTGAAAGTCAAATTGAGGGAATCAAAATTGGCGCTTTTGGAAAATGCTTTTAAAGCCTAAAACCCCAAAAAGGTGTGGGACTCCATGAAAACCATGACAGGAAGGACCTCTTCAGCTAAAACTATTGTGACGGACAATGAATTTTGTTTTGCCAATGAACTAAACACGTTCTTTACCCGTTTCGAGTCACTGGATATTTCTGAAAAATGCACTGAAATTCTCGAAACCATAATACCTGCTTCCTCTGACAAAATGACCATCAGTGTCGAAGAGGTCAGAAAAACATTTCACCAACACCAAGAAAGCGGCTGGGCCAGATGGGTGCAGCGGCTTCCTGCTGAGAAGCGTTGCTACTGAGCTGGCTCCAGTGAGGCCACCCATCTTTCAGGCTCCCATTGACGCCATCCCTCTGCCATGGGACACTTCACACATCAAACCGCTGCCCAAAAGAACATAAGGACTACAGACCAATAGCCCTCACCTCAGTGATTATGAAATCACTAGAAATAATTCTGCTCCGATTTCTTATCAGTACAACACAAGACAAACTTGATCCTACCAATTTGCCTATAAGCAAGGGTGTGGTACGGAAGATGCTGTGGCCACTCTGGTTCACATCACTACACATTTAGATAAACGTAACACGAGCAAGAGCCCTCTTCCTAGACTTCTCATCAGCATTCAACACAATACAAGCAGACATCTTGGGGTCAAAAATGGCCAAAATGGAAGTAAATCCATACCTGATTTACTGGTATGCTGCTTTCCTCACTAGTAGAGAGCATCTTGTGAAGGTTAACAAAACCCTGTCATCTGCCATCACAACCAATGTAGGTGTCCCCCTCCGCCAGGGCTGCGTGAGTTCAGCTGTGCTCTTCACTTTCTACCAACACACAAAACCAAGTCATCATGAAGTACTCTGATGATACAACATTAATATCTCTGCTCAGTAACACAGTAACACAGACGACCCTGAGCTGCACCATCAGGTGGTCGAGTGGACTGATAACAATGCTCTTGAGATCAACACCAAGAAAACTGAGGAAATCGTTTTTGGCTCACCATCTGACTCCCATAAAGTCCCCATTGTCATCCATACAGATGAGATCAAGCAGGGAGTTTCATACAAATACCTGGGTGTAATGATTGACCATCTGGTGTCATGGAAGGATCATTGAATATCTGTGCAAAAGGACAAAACAAAGAATTTATTTTCTCCGCCGTCTTAGGTCTTTTGGGGCGAGCAGAGAAATTCTTCTGTTGTTCTTTACATCTGTGATCTTGTCTATTCTGCAGTACTGCAATACTACCTGGTACAAATGTTTGTCAGCAGCTTTAAAATCAAAACTGCTCCACCTGTTAAAAATCTGCTCAAAGATAGTTGGTCAACCTGTCAGAGACTCTATGACTCAGCCTATCATAACAACCTAGTGAGGCTGTCCAACCACATCATCTCTGACCCTAACCATGTTCTGAACAGAGAGTATGAACTGCTACCATCTGATCGGAGATACAGGGTCCCACCATTCAATAAAGTCAGACTGAAGCATTCCTTTGTGCATCAGTCAATCCTCTAAACACAGAGCTGATCCCAGATCAGATGCACGTCTTTGAGCAGGTTTTCTCTCAGTGATTGTGCTGTTATGTTAAATGTTTGTTGCTTGTTTTTCATGTATTGTGTCTTGATGTTGATGTTACACATGGAGCTGCTGTGATGCAAGTCAAATTGCAGCCTTGATCTGACCAATAAAGTATTATTATATCGTATCTTATCGTATAATCGCAGCTTACATTTTTCAGAAATGTCAGTTTGGTAAGTGGTCGACTGACAAACCTATCTTGCCATTTTAGAAGGGGTACATTGAGTGATAAAGCAAAAAGTGCATGTTATCCACTGATCAGTGACTGACCAAACTGTCTGGCTAATACAGTTTTAGTACAAATCCCCAGATAAACACTATTATGTTTTGCCAGTGTGTAGCTCTAACTCTGAACACATGCTAATTGTGTTAGCGCCTTGCAGTGCTGTCTGATAGCTGGGCCGCCTCGACCCTATTAACATTGATCTGGTTGTGTTCCTTTGATCTGTACGTTTCCGCTCAATCCTCTCTGCAGCTTTTACCTCTGCCGTCGCATCAGGTGAGAGATTTGACAGGTAATCATCTAATCCATTTGTTTGTGTTTGTCTGTGCACAGGATCAGCCCTGTTTAAACGGTGGACAGTGTCAAATAACCTGGAATGACTTCCAATGCAACTGTTCCATGAAGTACTCTGGCCTCCTGTGTGAGACCCGCCTGTGGTGCGTGGACCACCCCTGCTCTGAAAGGGTGCGCTGTGTGGACCTGCAGGATGGGTATGAGTGTAAGTAGTCCTTTGACTGAAATCATTCTTTATCAGGGAAGGACAGGTGGAGTCAGGTCAGGCCACGTTCATTTAGCTCTTCATTTCTTAATTAGACTTACAGTCTTGAAACATTTCTGAAAGGCCATTTAAAGCCATCCTTAGAAAGTAAATAAACGCCACGACCTAAAGAGTCTCAGCTAGCAGAAAGATGATCCTACTAAAATACAGAAAGAACAAATATATAGATAGATTGTCCAGGGACTTCACATGAAAAATAGCCTCTTGGCGAACTCTGGCACAAATGTTTATTAATGTGCACTGTCCCTGTAAATGAATACATATAAATGATGAGTGAGGCTTTTCCCAAGAAGCAGAAACGAAATGGTTACAGGAAGCAGAGGAGAGACTAGGGAAATGAGACACTGCAACACATTTGATAAACAGATACCAGTTGCTTTTTCCAGTGATCATGATAACACATCATGTTTAATTACAGAAGGATTTCAAATCATGGCTCATCAGTAGCTTTTTGAATCACTTGTATTTAAAAAAAGAAATGTTGACTACCACAAAGTTTTATGTTAGAAATGTATAGAAGGGGTCCCCAGCACATAGGAACTGCCGGATGCTACACATATGGCCTCTTTCTGATTATACTGCCATTTTGGATCCTGAAAAAGTCAGAAATGGATTCAGCATCCGCAATAACCCACCAAACTATTCCAAAATTGTCCAAATCGGCAAGTAAGTAATTAGCTTTTGTCTGCATAGGTTATAAAGCAATTCATTGCTAATGAACGCACTTATGCTAATTGGGCAGTTTCTATGTGCTGGGGACCCGTACTTTACATTTCTAAACTAAAACTGTGTAGGATTCTATGAGCAGGCACAGACTATACTGG